AAGAAGCGTAAACTTCGCTCACTTTCGGATGCTGTGACTAGCAATGGAAATAGTGGTCATCATGATCGTAGTAGTGGCAGCGATAGTAAAGAGACAGAAAGTGTGAGCAGTCCACCTATAGTGACTAGTCGATCAACTTCATCGAATGAACCTTCTAGTGTCTTGACGTCATCGAGCCTTGTCGCAAATGTTAAGTTGATTGAGGATACACAAGGTTGTGTAACTGTAACTGTTCCTACATCGGTTCACTGTCAGTCGAGTGATGATGAGAAGGAAGCGCCTGATGGTAACAGTCAGTCTACAGTGTTGCATGATCACGATGCTATTGATGTGCTCATGTCTTGTGTCTCTGAAACGGAACATGAAGAACAACAAGTGAGTTTATCGGTTTTGGATTGCGATACTAATGCTGTTCTTTCATGTTGCGAGATGAGTTATACAACAATGGAAGAGTTTCACTCTACGGATGCTAGTGTGGTCAGAAACGTTGTCTGACACAACGGAATCATGATTAGGATGATAATAATCTGGATGTCACTGATGTGACAAATGAGTTGCCGACGATGACGAATGCTGATCAAACCTCCTCTGTATCAGGAGATGGAGAGTTAGATATTGGTCCAATGTTATGCTACTTAAAGTCTTCGGGAGACGAGGAGATGTCGAAATAGGAGATTCCACCCTTGCATATTATCTATTGGCCGAGAGCTTCTGTTGATAAGTTAGCATCACGGACTTCATTGTATCTGCCGTTCGGAGCAAGTGGTGTTGGATTGAATACTCATCCCCATGATATGGAATGTAATTCTTCGATAGGATATGGCCAGCTTTACGACGTGTTTTACATGTTCATATGGGTTAATTGGGTAAGGTTTATACTACCGTTAGGTCATGCTATGATAGATAGGGGAATAAAGGACCTGATGGGAAGGTACAGGTACCTAGTTAACTTGATAGGTCATATCCATGTTGGAGGGCGGGTAGGCGTACTGCTGTAAGTCCTACTCGTTCTTCCAGTGTGGATTAGGGGATGAGAGTGAACCCTAAGTTGAAGTTTCAGAAGGACTTGTTTTGCATGGAGGGATTTTGCTGGCCGGTGTAGAATCTTTTTTGAAGGTTTTGTTTTTTGGAAAATCCCTCCATGTATATATATTTGTGTTATGATAGGACTGACTCTTTCTGTTGATATTTTGGTGCTTTATTTGATTCCATTTTGTGATTTTATCATTGTGTATTGTTATTATTTCTATATTTTGTACTTATATTGAAGTTTTTGTGTTTGCTTCTGAACTGTACATACGTTGTTTAAATTTGATATTTGATATGGCTACAGCCATATTTGGATTTGATACTTTAACAGTACGGACTGGAGGCACTTATTCTTTTGGAACTGGATACCCATCGCGGTAATTTGGAACTCGAAGGTGTAATATTTTTTGGTTATTGTCTTTATTCCCTTTTTATTAAAAATAGAACCATTCTCTCCCACAATTATCAGTTTTGGTCTTGGACTGGGTGGGACGCGTAAGAACCTACACCTTGCCGGTAAAAGCGGACTGCAAGAGTAAATTATCATTTTACACTATTCACTGTAGTCACACCTACTCTCAGCTGAATGGAAACAAAGTGTTCTCTCTCCAATCTTCAAAGGAGAAGATAAGAATTACCCAGCCTGTTACAGACCAGTTGCATCACCATCATTATTATCAAAGTTAATGGAAGGGCTGGTGAACTAACAAATGAGAGAGTACACGGACAGGAACAAAATCTCTTTGCATGGGACAGTTGGACATTTTGCTGGGACCGAAAAGGATTGATTTTTGTACTACTTCTCGACTTTACAAAGCCTTTTACACAGATCTCCACGCACGCCTATACGCGAAGATTGCCGATGTGGGCTTCATTGACCCACTCGTATCTTGGCTCAGAAACTACCTAGGGAATAGAAAGTTTCGTACCAAGGTGAATAGAGTGCACGATAGTTGGCGAGTATCTTCATCGGGAGTTTCACAGGGGGGCCTTAGGTTCACTTATTTTACTGATACTTATTAAGGACCTGTTAGGCACAGTTAGCCACACAGATGATGCGAAGATCTGAAGGTCCATTAGAAGCGAAGAGGATTCGACTGAGCTTCAAAACGACCTTGTATCCATCAAAAAATGGGCAGTGAAAAACGGTTTAAAACCAGCCTAAATGTCATGTCTTGTACATTCTGCCCCAAATGACGCAAACGATTTGCACCCTCAATGGAAGTCCGCTCCCTAATGTCTTCGCATAAGGCGATCTCGGCTTAGTAACCACAGAAGCCTCTAAAGAAGCCCGAAATATATTGTGACGCAGCCATTGTAAATGTGACTCTTCATTTTGTGCGGAGACCACTTGGTTCTATCACCTTACAATTATTTTTAAAACTATTTAGGACGTATGCAGGCCCACACCTGGAGGTTCACAACGTTTAAAAGAGACAAATCTCATGGATCTAGTTTAGGGACGAGCAACCAAATGGGTGATAGGGTTGAAAAATAAGCCTTACGATGATAGACTCAAGCACTTGGGATTATTTCCACTGAGCTACAGGAGAATCAGAGGTGATCTGATCATGGCGTACGACATATTAGGCATCACCATTACTCCCCTCGAGGCAATCCTCGAAAGATTGTGCATCAAAGAGTCAATACACATGTTTATGCACACTTCGTCTCATTAGGAGTCGTTGCAACTTGGAATGTTCTCTCAGCCGAGGTGACCACAGTTTCCTCAGTAGACAGCTTTATGAAGTGACTTGATAAGCGCATAATCACATACGGATTATCATCTTTCTCGTGGACAAGCTATGCCTGATGCATGTCTTGAGACCTGCTAGTTGTTATTATTGCCATCTCTTCAGATCATTAACCTAACCGATCTCTGTTTCCTCTCCCCTGCTTACACTTCGGTCCTCTCTCACAATCTTCACTACCAATTAATAAACTATATTATCTAATTATTTACTTAGATCAGAAATTCTCTCCTTATTAACATCAGAATGTTCTCCTTGTTATTCTGCACATTGCGACTAACCGATCTCCGGTCTGGTAATGTGATAGCCGCTTGTATCCAGAAACCTTACTGCCCTGAAACAAACGTTTTCATCTAAATCACGGGACATACAAACTCACAACCAACTGCTAACTGACTAGAATTAGAAAGTCGAATGGCTAGATACGCATCCATCTAACTCTAACAAACACCTGTACCCGTAACGAAAAATAAAACAAGAATCGAGCGCAAAGAAATCAATTCGTTCATACTAGCTCGAGAAAAAGATATTGGATATTGCATACTGTGAAAGTGGTCTGTTTGACTGTTTGCGGCACAAGAGCCAGTGATGGAGTTCCCTGAAAATGGCAGTTAGGTCAGAACTCAGCGAGCAGAAGTTAGGGTATATAAGGGAATTTGTAAATAACAGAGACCCGAAGGAGGAATATAAGTTGATCCAGAGCATTGGAACTGGTACATACGGCGAGGTTTACAAGGTATAATCTGCATAACAATTTATTCTTTCCAGGCTATTCGATTAAGGACAAAAGAATTCGCTGCTGTCAAAATAATTAAAGTTGATGCTAAAGATGATGTGCGCGCCATACTTCAGGAAATACAAACCCTCCGCGAATGTCGACACTGCAACATTGTACAGTTTTTCGGAAGCTATTTCAGGTATAGTATTCAACCTTATAATGAATGTAGAAATAACAAACTGTGGATATGTATGGAATTTTGTGGAGGATTCTCCATGCAGGATATTTACACAAGTAAGCGTTTTAATTTATAATTCACCACGAAAATTTAGATATACAGAGGCCTATTGAAGAAAATTGCATAGCTTTTGTATCTAGAGAAACATTACGAGGTATAGAATACATGCACAAGGCAGGAAAAATCCATCGGGATATTAAGGTAATTAACGTCTGATAATTTTTCTGGTATCGCTATCCAACATTTTTACTTGATCGTTTTGGACCTAATTTGTTTCCTACTGAGTTATATTTTATTTATCATGCTAATCTTGTCACATTAATGTCATGCTCTCGTCAAACTAGACCCACAGCGTAAAATGGCCTTTCTTTTTAGCTGCTTCAAATGATTATTTTCTATCATTACTTGAGACTCATATTCTCACGGTGATGATATTTCATACTTGTCTTCGTTGGCTTTGGCAGTTAATAATATTTCTAATCATTGTATTGTGAATGATAACAAGATGGATTAAGAACGTCGTCATTATTTCCAAAATGATTTTTGTTAACGCTTCTTGGGTCTCAGGATCACCGTCCAAATCTCAAACAATAATTTTCCGTTTATCTTATAATGTTTATAATGTATGCATTTAGTTTACTTTTTACTCATCTCTTTTGTGGTATGCCGTTTGAATGTGCAGTATTTATTTATTTCAATTCTTTAGGGTGCAAATATTCTATTAACAAATGATGGTGACGTCAAAATTGGTAAGTTCATTTTTACTCTATGCTGATTTTGTTTCGTAAATTTGAATATTAAACTAGCAATTGTAATGTCCAAAGGAATATAAATTTCAATTCTGTATTTATTTCTCTCACTTAAAGCCTTAGGGACTCTAATTTCACCGATTTAGCGGCACATTTAGCACAATATGCTTGAAAGACTGTACTTGGATTGATCATAGTGTGTATATCTGGCTGTAACCCGTATTTAGTCACCAATTGCAAATCAGTAAATGGCAAAATAATTCATCGATTTTCTTCTGTAGAGTTATGTATATGTAGTGTATGGTATGTACCTGGTTCTGTTCGTTATCATTTAGCTGCATCAAGGAATTAGATACTTGAAGGATTTTTGTCCTTATGTTTTTCAGTTAGTACTGTTCATTTATTTACAAGTTGTACTACCGTCAGCTATATTTTTGCAGTATGATTAGCTCACCTATGTAGTCTGTTTGTTTGGTTTCTTTTAAATACGCTAGTAAAACAGTACTCAGGATTGAGTTTGGAACTTACATGAACTTGTACAGCAGCCACATAACTCATTTTCTGTAGTTGTATATCATCTATGATGATGATGTAATAGAGCGATTTCAGTAATTTACCCAGTCTCATCTTTTTCCCTATATCTGTAATTATGTAATTACCTTCTAATTTAAACACCAATAGTTGTTGGCCTTGGTTATCTAAAATCGTACTAGCCTCTGAAATTCACGGAATCTGATTACAGTGACTTATTGAGTTGGCGATTCGACTAAATAAAAAAAACTACCAACTTTAATTCTTGGAAATAACTAACCAAACCGTTTTTAATTGATAAATAATATCATTTGATTGCGAACTGTTGTAAAATTTTGTGTGTTTATAATGCGTTTTTTTTTACAATAGTAGCAGAATTATGTCATTTTAAATAATTTGTTTTTCACTGCTTTCAGCTGATTTCGGTGTTGCAGCTCAAATTACGCAAACAATTCAACGACGAAATTCTTTCATTGGAACACCGTACTGGTAAGTATTTGTTAGTCCGCTTTTCTTTGATCGGATATATTTCAAATAATAGCTTTTTTTAAGGGTGAACTAGGGGATGTTTACTTTGTCTCTGTTATTCGAAATTCGGCTTATGTACATATATTCCAGATCCTATATTCTTGTAGCTATATTATTTTTGTGGACTAAGGATGCTATCCAGTACTGAAATTAAAAGTAGTTATAATCTGTGACCTGCTAGTCGAAAACTGATTGTCTGAAATGATAGTAATCGATGGTTAGATATCTTGAATGATACGATTCAGAACCGTTTACAATGGCACAGGTACATCCATTCTATGTGTTCTCTCAAATCCTAACCGTCTGAATTCCTGATCACCTTTATCGCTTTCTTTTTAAGTTTATTTCACTAGATTCTACTTCTTGAATAATATATTCGAGCCGTAATCTCTCCGATTACTGCTAATACTTTTACTGCCTCTATTACTATGGGATTTGAATTGACAATTGCCTCTTTGTGCTAATGTGGTATGACGTACGTACGAATTTCTACATTGTAACTGACTGTTGTTTCAAGATTGGTCTGCATTGGCCGCTTAACTAGTGATAGGGAGTATAGTAGTCGAGCGTGTTGACAGCTTCACTTATCTGGGGAGTCTGATCAGTGCTGATGGCCTGGTGACTGACGAAATCTCAGCACGGATACAGAATGCTCGATTGGCTTTTGCAAATTTACGTCATTTATGGTGTAGGCGAGATATCCGTTTGCTGACTAAAGGACGTGTGTACTGCGCAGTAGTTCGCTCCATTCTCCTATACGGATCCGAAAAATGGCCGGTAAGAGTAGAAGATATTCGTATGTTACTAGTATTCGATCACAGATGTCTTAGAAGCATTGCTCGTGTATCTTGAGACTACCAAGAAAGCAATGTTGTTGTTAGGAAACGAGTACTAAGTAAAGATGGCAGAGCAATAGATGAAGTATTGAAACTTCATCAGTTGAGGTGGTTGGGACATGTGTTACGAATGCCCAACCACTGACTGCCTCAAGGAGCTATGTTTTGTGGTGTGGCGGTAGGTTGGGAGAAAGCTAGGGGCGGCCAGACCAAAACATGGAAGAAATCCATGAAGTCACTGAAGACAACTGGATTGAGTCATGTTAGTAAATGTAGGCTACGTGGTTGGGGTCCGCGAGACGAAAGTCACTGATAGTTAGAGACCTTGAATGGCATGGCTGAGAATCGTTTGCAATGGCGCAGGTGCATCCACTCTTTGTGTTATCGCAAATCCTTATCTTCTCTATTACCAGTAATACTACTATCTCTACCACTATTGGATTTGAACTGACAATTACGTCTCTGTGGTAATGTGGTGTGGTAACCTGAACTGATGTACTTACGTACGAAGTTCTACTTTGTAACTGACTGACTGATTGTCTCAACCACCAAGATACTGGCCTATGTATCCTACATTGATTATGATCGACTGATTAGTCAGTCAACTTTCGCAATGTAAAACGACTATTCAAAATTGTTGAGTTTCTATTTGAATAGCCGAAATTGGATGCTTTAAGCTACCAGTAATCAAGTCCTATATGTTCTTCAGCCTATCTCTAGAAGACTAAGGTATTAATAAATAGAATGTTAAAGAAGTTCAGTGACTAAGTAAGATTACCGGGCTTTGAGTTACACTTATTGTATGCAATCCGCTATTGCTAACCGACTCCACTATCGGAGTTAAGGTCACTTTTCCAACAACTAACTTAAATCATTAGCGATTTCGATCTCTGAGTCGTACTTACACAATTCAGTCTGGTCATCTAGTTCTTTTGCTAGAATTGCTGGCAAAAATAATTTATGCTTTATAAATTACTTATCTACGCAATCGTATAGAAATCTATGATATTAGACGTGAAAGGAATGTTAGATTCTGTATTAATAACACTGAATGATTATCCCATTACACTGGACGTAATACGGTTAGTTTATGTTGCTCAAGTAATTCTGTTTTATACACTTCAAAATCTTAACGAACTGTGTTTTTCAAGAAACACCCTTCCACGGTCCGGGAAGCCCGGAAGTGACATCCACCCTCATATCCGTAGCAGCGCATGAAACCGAATCGGTCATAATCAAATCCTTCCTTTAGCTATTTGTAGCTCTCTTATCTCCTTGACTAACCTTTCTCACATTCCTTTATCACCTCGCACAGCTGATGCTAAAGATTCGAGTACACGAAACGTTATTCCTGGTCTCCTAAAACCATGCTCTAAACTACATGTTGGAGCTTTTAATACCCGGGCCTTGTGTTGTATAGGACAACAGGCTTCCTTAGCAAGGACTCTTAAATCTCGTGCTACCGATGAATGTTGCATTTCCGGAACGCGCATACAGGATCCGGGCAGAATCATTCATTTGACCTCACTATGTCATAATAAAGAAGCAACTCGATTTACACCTCGTGTATCTGGAACTCCCACTGCTTCTTTCTGTGGCCTTGCTGCTGTAGCTATAGCATCAAGTTCTGAAGCAGAAGTAGTCCTCTCAGAATGGATCCCAGTAGACAGTCGATTGTATGCTGTCTGACTAAATGGGACTGTAAAGACTTGGAAAGACAGGGACACTCGCCGTTGCCACTTCGTTGTCTCTACCGACTCTCCCACTGACTGCAACTCAAATGATGTAAAAGGTGGATTTTACAGAAAGTTTTTGACGTCCTTCAAAAAGTTAAGTGCTCTGATGTGATAACAGTCAAAGTTGACTAATGCTCAAATAAATAGACTAAGCGACAAGGAAAGACACGTGGGTGAATCTTACGGTGTAACAGCTCGTTGAAGTGATAGTGGCGACCTCTGCTGGAACTGTGCTCAGGTAACCGCCTGTTTCTGACTAATACTAAATTAAGGCTTAAATAACAACATCTTTTGACATGGCAACCTTCAAGGTCAATCAAAGCTGGACCCATCTAGACCACATTGCTATTAGCCTTCGATGAAAAGGCTCGACAAAAGACTGCAGCTCGCTCTGGAGCACATGCTTAGATTCATATCACACTCTAGTTCAAGCACGTATTTGTCTATGGCTTACTGTACGCAAAAGGTCTACTTAACGATAGCAGAGCCATGAGAATATTTTAAGAGGAACCAGAAAAACGCTTAGACAGCCATGTAAGTGATGTTCACATCGAGGCAACTTGGAATGATATCCAAAAAGCTGTGGAAAGAGCAGTGATATCTGTCTGTAAGGTAAACCATAAGGTTAGGGAGAAGCAGTGGATTTCTTTAGCATCTACTGAACTTATAGATGCTCGAAAATTCATCCTGTCTAGATCTGAACATGTTCAAGAGTGATGTCAGCTTAAGCGCAAGCTGATAAGAGTAGGAAGGAGGTTGGAAGAAACCTGTGGGTGGCCAAACCAAAGCATTGTACAAATCCCTGAAGTCACAAACAACTAGATTGAGTTATGTTGGTAAATGTCGACTACCTGGTTGGGGCTTGCGAGATAATAGTAATTAATGGTTGGAGACTTTGTTTGACATGGCTCAAAACCGTTTGCAATGGTACAGGTGCATCCACTCATTGTGTCCTATGAAATTTTGATCTTCTGAATTCTTCATCATTTCTATCTTTCTCTTCCTAAAGTTATCTCAGTAAACTATACTTCTTGAATCATATTTTCGCACCTTAATCTTCTCAATTACTGCTAATACTTCTACTATCTCTATCACTATTGGATTTGACCTGACAATTACGTCTCTGTGGTAATGTGGTATGTCAACCTGAACTATTGTACGTACGTACGAAGTTCTACTTTGTACCTGGTTGACTGACTGAGTGACTTTATTTCACTTATTCTCTTCTGTTTAGACTAGAGACTTCTAATTTTTAGAATTATGATAATGTGACCACTGAAATTTCTTTTGCCATTATACGTGAAACCGTCTATAGTTTTCGTCATAAACTTGTTTGATACATCGCTTGTAGGAAATGAACAACTGGATATGTATGCTGCGAACTCAAATAAATATTGATCGTTTGCATTTAAAGATGGAATGATTTCTTGTTTTTTTTTTGAAAATGTCGCTTGTAACTACTTTGATGACTAAGCGTGAATAGGAGACATGAACTGTATAACTTAGTTTACACAGATGAAAGACAATTCACACTAATCATTACATGAATCTATTTGAAGCATAAACCCACATAGACTGACTATCGAATAAATCATAAAGTAAATTGTAATTATGTAATTACTAACCGAACATACTGATTTTATAAAGCAAACTAGAAACTAGTGCACGTATTGCTTTTTTTTTTAAATCTCTACTGGCATTTTTTTTATATAGGATGGCTCCTGAAGTTGCAGCTGTTGAACGTAAAGGTGGTTATGATGAAAAATGTGATGTATGGGCGTTAGGAATTACTGCTATTGAATATGCTGAACTACAACCTCCATTGTTTGATCTACATCCAATGAGGTTTGTTTTATTTTCTGATTTATTTATCTTATATGTATGTGTAGTAATAAATTTCTATTCGTACTGCTCTATAACCATCACAGATTCATTATTTTTTTTTAAATGGTACCGATTAAGATAATCTTTTTTTTTTGTGTGTGTTTTAATGGTTTTTTTTTATGTTTTATGTTTTTGAAAAAGAAACGTACAAGTTGTGTTTGAATTACAGTTTATCATGATTATGAGTCATGTTGGTAGATGTAGACTAGCTGGTTGGGGTCCGCGAGACGAAAGTCACCAATGGTTAGAGACCTTGAACTATATGGCTGTGAATCGTTTGCAATGGCTCAGGATATATTTGTTCATTGTGTTCTCCAAAATTCTAACCCTCTAATCTTCTTCTAAATTTATCTCACTGAATTATACTTTTTGAATCATATCTTCGCTCCCTAATTTTCTCCATTGCTGCTAATAATTCTACTATCTCTACTACTATAGGGTTCGGACTGACAGTTGCGTCTCTGTGCTGATAGGGTATGGCAACCTGAACTGATGTACTTATGTACGAAGTTCTGTGTTGTATCTGTCTGTCGTGTGCTAATGTGATATGACAACCTGAACTGGTGCACGTACAGTACATACGTACGAAGTTCTACGTTTTAACTAACTAACTAACTGACTGACTGACTGATTATGATTATTCTTAGTTCACTTACTCTTTTAATGATTTTATCGTTTCTACTTACAGAAATAAATTAGCCAAATTTGTCTATGCATAATTCAGTTGTTAAATGAATTTGATTTTTAGTTAGTATAGTGTTAATCATTAAATTGTCTTATTGAAGATTTACTATTCACATTAATTGGTGTATGAGGATTGTCAATGTACACAGTCAGTCAATTGCAACGTAGAACTTCGTACGTATGTACATCAGTTCAGGTTGCCATACCACATTAGCACAGAGACGCAGATGTCAAATCAAATCCCATAGTGATAAAGATAGTAGAGGTATTAATGGTAATGAAGAAGACTAGGGTTCGAAGATATTATTCAAGAAGTATAATTAAGTGAAATAAGGTTAGAAAGACAAAGGTAGAGGTGCTGACGAATCCAGAAGATTAGGATTTGAGAGAGCTCAAAGAATGGATGCACTTGCGCCATTGCAAACGATTTTGAGCCATGTCGTTCAAGGTCTCTAACCATTGGAACACAAAAAAGGAGGAAAATTGTTTGTTTGTTTGTGTTGATTGATCATGAAAGTTCTATTTAGCAAATATTGCTTTGTATCACTTATCCTTGTCATTTTATATTTGACAATTTCCACAAATACCGAAGTGGTAATTTGAGTAATTGGTGATAATTTATTAATTGCACTTTTTTTTTAGTGTTTTATTCAGTTTTGAAAATCTTGTCTCAAGTGTTTGACAAAAATTAAGTAGAATCGTTTGTTCATAAGTATTTGTAAATACTTACTATTGAGGGCGTTAAGTGTCGGAGATCGATTTTTGTTTATTATCAACAACCATAGGCAGATAATATGTGTTGTTTTGTACCACTTGTTACATTACTATTATCTCGTGGACCCCAACTAGGTAGTCTACATCTACCAACATGACTCAGTTCGCTTGTTTTGGTCAGACCGCCTCTAACTTTCTCCCAGCCTATCCTTTCACCACAAAACATTGCTGGTCGACGTAGTCGGTGGTTGGGCATACTTAAAACTTGTTCCAACCGCCGGGATTGATGTAGTTTCACCACTTCATCAATTGATTCGCCATCCTTAACTGGTTCTTTTCATAACTTCAGCATTGCTTACTCTGAGATCCGAGGATATACGAGCAATACTTTAAAGACACTTATGATCAGGATTCAGTAACCTACGAATATCCTAAACTCTTACTGGCCATGTTTTACAGCTATTAAGTACGATGGAGCAAACTCCTGCCCAGTAAACTCCGCGTTTGACTAGTAGACGTAAGTTGGCGGAAGCCAGTCGAGCATTCTGTATCCATGCTGAGGCTTCGTCACACACCTGGTCATCAGCACTGATGAGACTCCGAAAAATAGGTTTAGCGATCGACACACTCAACTGCTTCACTCCCTATCACTAGTACTGGTGCTGATGCAAGCGGGTCCTGAAGCAACATTTTGCATTTCGAGCTCACAGCACTTATTAGCATGACTACGCTTTGTATATCACTCTATTAAACAAACGTCTGATGTATTTTGCTCCATACCATAAACCTATTCAAACAGTCAACCTTTGTAAATTCCTCTAATATTTTATTGCCTTTAGATGATTGTGATCTCCACTGTTCATTTCTTAAACCAAAATCATACCCGTTTGTTTACACACAGTTCATAATAGATAGTACTCTCTCTATACAAGCAAACATTCATTTCAAGCATATAAAATACATGATTTATATTTTTTACTCAACAACTGTAACATATTAATTTTGGTTATCTTGTACTCTAAAACACAAACATTTACTGTCGCCTATGTATGTTAAAGTAATCATGTCAGATAAATGGACAGATTCTTTTACTTTTTATTGATCGGTTATGTACTTGAACCTCGTTCAATCTCATTCGGTTTTGGCAACTGGATACACTTATTAAACGAGTTACATTTCTGTTTTAGTCAGTTAGTAGAGGAAGTATAAGAAGTTAATATTCGATAAATTTAAATAGTTTTTATCATGGAAAATCCTTCGTAGGTTAATTTAAAAACCGGTTAATGAACATCATTTTTTTATGTCTAGTCTGGGTCTCGCTCCTCGAGATACCGCACATAGATTTGCAGCACTGTAGAAAGTGAATAATCGTAGATGCGATTTTAAGCTAATCCCTAGGTTGTCTCATACAAAGTATCAGCTTAGCCAAGGTCAGAAGAAGTAAGTTATTTGACTTGATAAACTTTATTAGTCTCTAAATTATAAATTGATGCAGTCTGTTAGCGAGGGAAGATGAGCGTCATAAATAAGATGTCGAACAATATCCAAAGGATATAAAAATGACTCAACAAAATTCAATGTTATTTCTAACAAGTATGAAAGATTGTGATTGGTGAGTAATCAAGGCCTAATCATACAACATGGAAGAAAGTCAGCGTAGTGGTGGGCGTTTTATACTTTCATTGGTGAGTTCGTTTATCGATCACACCTTACATTCCTCCCAAAACGCCCACTACATCCATCGTCCTGAGTCGTCGTTAACCAGCTGACTTTTCAAATAAACCTAAGTTTCGTTTACCTCAAGTGGTTTCTTCAAATGCCGTTCTCAACTATGTACTTTCTGTTCTCGCAGTCGATCGTGATAGTGTTCATAAAAGTAAATCTATGTTAAGGCAGTAAGCCATTTCAATCTAGTCGGTTTCGATAGAAAGGCAAATGAACACGCAACCTTAGCGTTTCTTGACGATTTTCATTTGTTTGGTTTAGAATAGCATGAGATAAATCAGGCCTATCGAGTTGAAAGGTGGGTGGGCAACGGATTAAATGTTCGGGAACATGAAATAGAATAAAATCTTCATAAATAGCATTGTTTCACAATTCTTTTGACGGTAGAGTAGCCTTTAACAATTCAACACTTTACGGTAACTCCGACATGTACGTGTTAGCGATAGTGCGTTGTAATACAATCTCTAATTAACTACAGATTTTTCCTTTTGGCCATTATCACCGAGTATCAACGGTGGATTATTGAAAAAAATATTTTCCTACAGGGAATGCGACTCATTAAGGTTTTATTATATCCGTCTTGGGATTATCGATATCCTCAGCTCTTAACATGCCTAAAGTTAGAGATTTCCTATCCCTCTTGTTTAACATATTATCGATGAACCGCCTGCACTATGAAAATACTTCTAATAATGTAGACTATGAGCATAGGACGCCTACCGGCATTCTCCAACCAACTCTGTCTTGGGCCTTCTTTTCAAGTTCTATTCAATTACTGTTCATTCTTCTCATGTCTGTTTCCAATACTCGGTGTAATGTGTTCTTTGTTCTTCCTCTTCTCCTTTGACCTTGAGGATCCCAAGCGAAGGCTGCTTTCCGCAGTGCGTATTCTATCCACCTCCAGCGCTTCTCCTTAAATTTTTGTCTGCTAAAATCTGGTTTGTTCTCTCCCACAGTAGGTTGTTGCTGATGCTGTGGATGCCAGCGGATCCTCAGTATCTTGCGTAGACAACTAATAACAAATACTTTTATCTTCTGTAGGATGGCCTTCGTGATTCTCCAAGTTTCCTCCCCATATAGTAGAACTAACTTAACGTTTCTATTGCGAATTGTGACTTTTGTGTTGGTTGATAGTTTTTTTGAGTTTCAGACGTTCTTCAATTCAATAAATTCTACCCTAGCTCTGCCAATGGGACTATGATATGCACGCATGAAATCTTCATAGAAACCCGCCATTGTAGTTTGGGGATTGAAACTTTCCTGTTATTGTATAGGCCGAAATGTCCCCACGTTCTTCTATATGAGATCATTTCTCATTTTCTTTTCATAGGAATACCGGCCCTTATAACCACTGCCTTATATTAACCCTATCATTTACTGACAATCCACGTAATAAGTAAGGTGCAGTTTACCCTTGATATATTTCGATTGGTTCAATGCAGATAAGTCACATAATTGCTAACCCATTAGTCATAAACTTCTCAAATCTTTTAGTCATATTTTTTGTACGATGAAGTACAATTTATGAATCCGAGAAAATAGAGATATTTATATGTTCTTCTATGCACTTCTCAATCTTAGCACATTTTAGCGGGTTGTTGTTTCATTCTAAATTTAGTAAAAAGTTTCAGGGAAACAGGCCTAGACTTAGCCAGAAGAAATGCTTAGTGACTTTGATCAGAAACACTTTTCATAAGGGATATTCGAGAGAATACCGTACACAAGTTCAGATGCATGAACGAAACAATGAATTTAAGTAGATAATGGTACAAACTCTGGTCTTAAACATCTCTGTATTCTTGAGTCCTTCATCCACTTTGCTTAACAATCTGTGTGTG